CGAAAATATTTTAATTGTAATATTAAGGTATCCTTTAAACGCCAGATTTTCTTCCACGTAAATAATTAACGCACCTCAGTACATGAGCATGTCATTAATTGCTTCCTCATGGGCCACCCAAACTAGCTTGCGCTAAGATGGCGAAGTTATAGGTAATTCTTTTTCTAACACAAAACTAGGCACCAATGACGTTGCCACTAAGAATTCATTGATTAGGTTCTCCTATCTTGTAGTGTCACAATCCATGCTCAGAGTCATTACTCCTCCATGATTTCCATATCTTCAGTAGTCACCCTCTGTTAATATGTCTGCCGGGGACAAGAAACTTGCCCTGAACCACTCTTCTCAGGGCTGCGCTCATTAGCAAAAGTGACATTGTTGCTACTGGGGGAAACAAACCAGGAAACGGGGCAGTGTTGCAAGAAGAGCAAGGGTGCCCACGGCTTTATCTAATAACCTGCGCATTAAGAAAATTGAGGGCTGCATGGTCCAGGCAGTAAAAGCGCTTGTCAAGCACAGCGCTACATCTTTTTTTCATTTCCCTGAAGTGTCTACGGCAGCAGCAAGCAATATGTGTATTGAGTACTATGGTGTCAGTCGAGAGGAAATTTAAGACTATACAGAAGGCAAGATGCATGGGCCAATTTACCGCTCAGGTGTTAGATTAGGATCGGTTGTATCCTTACGAGGAAGGTGATGTTACAGCCAGTTTAATACTTACACCAGTTGTCGTGTATTTGGATGGCCCACAGCCGTGACGTGAACACGAGCAAACGGGCCGCTGAATGGCAAACCGTCATGCATTTTGGACTCCTTGATTTCCAGTTACCCTCAGAATGTTCTATGTCTCTCACTCCATCGAGTTTGGAACTTGCATACATTCTGTAACACCTTATCTATTGATGTTATTTTCAGTCAGATTTAATCCACTTGTTCCTCAGAAAATGTCAGGGGCTATTTTGTTTGTGCACAAGAAAGATTAGATACAATGATAATCATAATCCGACAACACTGCCGTTTTGCAATTTCATTTCTCTTCTTCCAGAGATTAAAGTAGACTGATATGTTGAAAATAATAGGCTAAGACATGTTGAAGATAATAGGTTAAGATGAATTAAAACCTGCTTCTGGACACCCGAAATCATTCAGTAATCTTCCAGGTATGTTAACAATCTACTCATTAATCCTTAACCATTAGGTGAAAATACAGCAAGAAGAATAAAACAGTCGTCGTGCTATAAGCGTCAAAATTGTATCCCTAGATTTTCTCGTATTATGATCTCAGTCGACACCAATTTAATCTTAACATGTGTATCACATGCCCCGGCTGGCTTGTCGCTTGGGGATCTTTTTAATACCAGAAGCTTCCCCTCCTCGGACTCACGAATTATTCAACATTTTATTTCTACTTAGAGCTAGCAAGACAGACTTTACTGGCGACACCGTTAGTCGATTGCTGGAGCTTACGGCGCGATTGCGACGAACGAGACCAACTGCTTGCCGGCGGGTCTGACCTGGGGTTAGGGTGGTGTAACGGTCCCATGGGGCCCCTCCTACGATCAGCTCCAGTAGAGAAACTATCCAGTAGCATTTCGTGTTTCGTACTGGTAGAAGTATAATTAGATTGTAAGATTTCTCTTGGGAATTCAGCCTAGAAGCGTTGAGCGCCACTTGGGCTTTACCTCTGCACCTATCCTCTCTCACTAGGAAGAGCAGCGTTGACATTTTGGAGTGGATTGCTTTTGGATCGGAAATCAGAAAAAGAATAAAGTTGATCAGTTTAGAAATCGCCTCGTAAGGTAGCTTAATGCAAGGCCCAGGGGCTTGTAAATCACACTTGTTTAGGTCATATGTGTTCTGTGATAAGCACCAATACGAAAAGCTAAAATGGATGTCGAAAACATTTGAACTGAAGAAAAAAAAAAGAAATTTCCAATGAATGGATGGACATCCGGTTGACGTCAAAACAGATACGAACTGAGCAGGATTAAGAAATGTGCATTCCAGAGGGAGTTAACGAGGTTGTAAGTGTTAATGCGATGACTGCAGATGATAAATGCTTCTCCTGTGACTGGTGCATACTGCTTTTGAAAGTTTTGCTTAATCATTTTTATCTACTTAGTATCTTTCTCGAAATTTAGTCTTTGGATGAAAGGAGCGCTTTTGTACGAACTATGATACTGGCACGAGCTGGAACAGAAAGGCTCCCAAATTATACAACATTCCACCCTATCCAACCCCATCCATGGCTGGATTAATGTTGTGTCAAGCTTTGATCTATTCTCAAGATTTTTAATTTTTTTCCTCCTTGAGGTCAAACAAACCTTTGTGACGAGCTAACATTTTTAGAAACTCCTCACGTGATAATTTATTCCGTCAAGACCACATACTGGTATCACAGGTCTATTCATTTTTAACCATTCCTATATTGCACTGCATAACTCTATCGTGCATGTACTTTATAGTGAATTAATTTTCCATTGCTGGTGTTACACTAACATAAGCACAAGCACGCCTACTAGTCATTTCTGTTTACAGGTATATACTGGTTCATTCTCTTATTTTCAATGTTCAAAAGGGAATTTTCAAAAGGGAAACGGGAATACAGCTTATCCTCTTATCAACGTGTTCCATTTTAAATGTATTGTACCCGGTATTTACTCACCTCTAATGTCTATAACTTTTAAACTTACAATATACTCTCTCCATTCATTCTGAAGAACCCTTCGACGGAAACTTCGTCTCTTTAATCAAGGTAATCTTTCGGGAACTTACACTTGTTTCTTCATTTGGCATTTTTGTCACTGGCCTTCTGTACTCGTATTTCTGAGAAAATAAGATACAATGGCGTAAATCCATGTCGGTCAGTGGAAGGATGGGGTAACCAAATGCTGAGGTTATCCGGCCGCGGACGTTGGGGGTGGGGTTGTGGATTCGAGACCATATATCTGCTGGTGCTGTTCATGATAGAAATGTACATAAATTTTGATGTATAATGTTTGCACTTGGGTGCGTTTACCTCATATCAAAACGATATATTTGATTAAAGTTTTTACTGTTTACAATCTGTCTTTCTATTGTAAAGTTGGAAAATAGCCTTCCAATCCAAATTTTTAATTAATCAACACCAAAATTGGGAAGGAGTTAATCAAAGTGTAATAATATCAGGTAAGTACTAAACGGTGTCTCCAGGTAAGGTTCGTTATCAATTATATCCTACAAAGCTTGTATGGCATCTCATACTACAAATGCCGTCAGCAAGTAACCTTTTTGAAGGGTGAGGCTTAAATTTTCACAAGCTTTTCACATGCTTCAGGAAGAAAGGGAAATGACACAGCCCCCAAATCATTTCACTTCATTAAAATAAAGCCTTTGCCCCCGTTGTCCTCCACTCCCGGTTTACCAATGACCTTCGGTACAAACTCATCCGCGTTTTCTGATGATAGATTCATGAAGGCGTGCTTAGGATTACCAGCAAAACCCAATATTTGGAATTTTCAGACTAGTTTTCGAAATACAAAAACAAAATTCAGGGAGCTGTAAACCATGTGCAAAGCGTTTACGTGCTTATATAACGTGGCAGTGACTTCCCATGTGCAAAAGCAAAATGTATGTTTATTACTGAAAATATCGATAGATACAATGTTATAAAAATAAGTTAGAATTTTTAACGTAATGTTGCTGTCAAAGCCATGCAGGCAGACAAGCCAGCTGTTTTGTTCCAAACATTGCGTATGTGACAGATGGAATATGAATGATTAATTGCCCAAAACAGCATACCAAATAACAACATCAAAATATTTTTAAGGTTTCAGAGCTGTTGTTTTAGTCTGGTGTAAAGGTTCAGCGAACAGGTTTAAATGGCAGTGAGTTAAAAGCGGAAAATATTGTTTACGGTGCAAGAGAATTTTTTAAATAATCAATTTAATATGGATTTTACTGATAATCCTACTTGGAGTCGTCGCGTACTTAACACCTTTTCATGGTATGCGAAGGTCCTGTAAAACGTAGAAAATTAATGAAAGTGTTATTATACAGAACTTAAATTTTGTAAATTACCATCAACTGATATGAATGTCTGATTTTACATCTAAATAACTAGCTAAAATAGGATGTGTTGAACACTGGTTTTCCTGAACACGAACGCAGCGGTGTCGTTTTGTTCAAGTCCAGGTGTCCGCTTACAAATCGTCACGTTCTCGTGTCATTCTCGCCGTGCTTGCTGCTCATCACCAAGATCTGGTCTCCAGGCGGGAAAAAGTGGAACACTCAGTCAAATTTCCCTAGATGAGGTTCTTTGATCGTATGCCTGAGGGACGCCAGCGACGGGGCAATCTCTGTTCCTGTACAAATCAGTTTCTTGTATGAAGCAGAGCCTACACTGCGCTTGATTTCCCACGCGGTAAAGGCGACAATTTCTGGGGGATATTGCGACCAGGTTTCTTTCCTCTTTTTCAGTTTGAAAGTGCGGTATTGTCGTAGCGTCGCTGATAGGTTTTTGTTTGTTGACTGGAAAGAAAGCGTCTGCCATTGTACCATGTTTTTAGTTCTTTACTTATACTAGTGATGGCAGGTGAATCCATTTCGCAGTGAGCCCTCTCCTCCTTGTTTGTCAAAGAAACGCAGACATCCTAGAGAAAGAAGCCTTTTTGTATATAAGAATGAGACGCGCTCTTGTATGCGCGGGTAAAATGGAAGGAACTCGTTTTTGTGAATTGAAAAAGTGGCCTTTCTTTTCTGAGTGCCTGCGAATGTAGCAGCGACGGCACTGCGTGCGCGGATGTATTGAAATAAATCAAATAGACATATCGACAGGAGAATTGGGGGCAACGCAATGTTTGCGGCCATTGTTCACCACGTGAAAATCTATACGTGCAACAATGGTCCAGGGCAAAGGAAGAATGGGCTGTCGCTATCCTTGGTTTCCCGATGATTTTGTTTTCAGAATTGAAAAGAAGGCCCTTTTGATATTTTTTGTATCCAATGCTGAATTGGACAATGCCATTTGGTACAGGATTGAAAATATAAGTGGACGCCAGGCGCTACAGCAGGCTGCAGTCTGTTAGACTTGGTCTGGCCGTGTAGTGCGCAGGAAACGAGGGGAGTGAATGAGTACGTGCATGTGACTATGATGGCTACTTTCGGGCAGCCATGTTCGAAACACTAGGAAAGACATAACGGGGAAATTATACGAGATGAAGGAACGGCTCTGGTCTAGGTGTTATGTATAAATGACGCGGTCGACTTTTAAGCCTGGTGTCTTAGTTGTATATTCCAAGGAACACCCTTGTCAGCAGTCACACACAGTGATTCCTCATCAGGACCAAGACAAATTTGACAGTCTATGGGGAAATTAATGATGAAACTTTCTTTAAAGGGAATTATTTTCATGGGATCAGGTTGAAGCTCATGACCTGGAAAAACAGCAATCTAGGAGTGCTGTGTCCTGTTAACCTGTTCGGAGAGACATGGTAAGTGTAGGCTCTTTATTTTTTAAAATGAATAAATATTGCATGCTCTTGTTTATTCTTAGAATGATCCACTCACGTTTGTTTTAGCGCACCGAGGTAACCTTATTATTCTCTTAATCTCGCAAGAGATGCTTTCGAAAGGTTTACCATTCGGATCAGACCAGCGTCTTAACTCTTAAAGAAACTTTAAAGAAACTTTCTCACAGATTAAAAAGTGCAGTCAAATATTTGCGATTTATAAGCTTTTGGACGTAGAGGTTGAAGTTAGGTATTTAGGCGAGTCATGTAGGTAAGTTACGGTTGATGGAATCGTCCACTTCGTCGACTCTTTATCCGATTACATGTAAGGAACTTTGACATGCTAGAGGCAGGGTAATCGTAACGGGCGTGTGGTTGGCTCGCTGGTAACCACGGGAAACAGAAAATAAATTAACAGGAAATTGACTTATTTCCAGTATCAAAGGAGAACGTCGCAAAATTCTTCACTGAATTGTCTTCCATCTACACTATAGGTTCAAATGCTTTGACGAAACATCATGGCTGACACACAACTGCATTTTTTATAGGAGTGTTTTCCCAACTTTTCCTTAACGATGGTCTGCTAATCACATTTCAGAATACATGTAATGGAGTACCTGAGACAAAGTACATTTTCAAACTAATGCAGAGAGGGAGAGCTCTTTTTAGTCACGTTTTTCCTAACGCAATTTTTGTTTCACAATTATGGTGAAGGCCTTACGATTTTGTTTTACGACCTGACAAATACACGCTTCACATCGATTACTAAATCTATACTCATCTGATGTTATTTTACTTATGATCAATGGGCTCATTCATTTTCTGATCTATCTCGACACTCAAAGAAACATACTATATACTCGCAGCTCTCGTTGCCTTGCCTTCTGGGCTACGTGTGTAATAACAAACTCGGTGTGACACGTCGTAACTTGTGCATGGGATCTAGATACGAAAAATAGTAGTGAGGCGTTGCGATGCGGACTCATCACATTTTTTAACCCCAGACAAATTCTACAAAGTCTGTCTCGTCTGGCACAGTAATCAAAAAGTCAGAACACGGAGTTTTTCCCTATCCTAGTCAAAAGGCAAGTGTTTTTAAAAGAAACTGTTTGTCAAATTGAAGTGTGAACCTGAAACCAAAACCTAGTTCAATCCTTTCTTGCATATATTAATGCTCTGAGAAGAAAAATTAATAGGGAAATGATTAAATGATCTCACTTCAGGCCAATAAGTGGGAAGCGCGCACAGAAGTAGAACAAATTATGTTTAATGTTACAATGACTAAGAACGGAATTGCCATAGCTGTACTTTCATTGACAATGATGACATATCATTTTGCCTGCGACTAGCTATAAGAAAGTGCGATTTTTCGGTGAGTTATTGTTTTGCGAAGTTAATTTACAAAAGTTTCACAAGTCAACAACCTTTCGATAGAAAGTGTTGTTGAGCGTACTCAAAATCTTAACTATTCAGCCTTTAATAATCGAAATACCGCCTTTCATGTAGAGGAGTAAAGATCTTTTTGTTTTACACAGCCACCATTTTAAGCAAATCACAGATCATTTCTTTTTCGGAGGGATGGTGTTTGCTGAGGTATTACTCTTAATGAAAATGGATAAAAATTTTGAAATAGAAATATGAATCCTGAAATACGTTAAACGAAAATGGGATGCAATTTTTACAGTTTGTAGGGCCTGCCGATGAAAAAAACGAGATTTTATAGACGGGTTAGTCCTGAGGCCTTTTTGAAGTCATCGAAAACCTTAAGTCTAGCTAGGCCGTAACACCCATATCGGTAGTCACATTCGCCTCAACGCGTTCCCTGTAACGAGAAATCTGGCGTCGGTTATTTCCCGCCCTTGTTCATTTTTAGCGTGTTTTCATAATTTGCCTGTCCCTTTCATTCCGCACATTTCTGCCCCGGGGCGCTATCAATTCATAAAGCCCATATCAAAAGAAACGCTCCTATCACAATAAAAAGAGGATATTTTAGGAACAATAGACCTGCCGTGCCTGACTTGACGTCTAAACAGCGCATACTTACAGCCCCACTTGTGAAGTAAATTGTAAAACGTGATTACACTATCGGCCAAGGACGATGTTGCTCGGCGAACCATTGTGTAATTGCAGGGAATGTTTTTAAGAGATAATTTTAATGGCGTGTGAGGCAAATTTATTTTCGTCTGGACTTTCAATGCACGAAAATTCAGACTTTACGACGTAAAGTGTTCACGAATATTGAACTTTTAGTTGTCAGAAATTATTGATGGCATGAATAAAAGCCTACCAAAAAACAAAGAAGGTAGTATTCAGATTCCAATAAATTACTATACTGTGGTCTTTTGCGAATTACGTAATGAATTAGAAATTCATTTTTAAAATACCCTGTGATTAAAGGCGTGTCGATAAATGTTGTTAAGGCGCAGGTTATTGATACAAAATTTAAAAACCTACTTAGGCCTACGAACCATCTCTCAGTTTAACAATATGGAGTCTTGTTTCAGTTATTTTTTTGTATCGTATTGGTGGAATCACAGCCGTAATGCAGTAATAAATGTAGTCCTCGTGGCAGTTCAAATGCGTTGCACTCAACGTAACGAAATATAGTCCTCTCTATAGTCAAGCAGACATACAATCTACTTCGATATGTTTTATTATGACACGGGAAGCCCATATCCGTGACATTTCAAGCCTAAACCATCATAACTATAATTCAAGAATACGTCGATATGTCAGGCGGAACTTGGCCTATACCCAGAATCTTTTGAGCGCAAATTGTAACAATAAATCTGCGTATGTCTCGTTCGATGTTTTTGTCAATTACCCTTTAATATTTCAAGGCTGAGATCTGAGACTTTTGTCAGGATTTTAACGCCAATACATCCAAGGCCTTTTTGGATTCTCATGATTGAATGATGAACGCAGTAATTCAGTTTAATTGAAAAGAATTTGTTTCACATTTTGTTCTTGTTCGTTTATCTCGCTGTTTGTGTAACAATGAAAGATTACCAACTGAATCGAGCAGTCATGTTATATTGAAGATTAACTTCCGTGTTTCAAACCCACGAACCGAACATTATGTGGCACGCCTTTCTGTGTCGGCAGAACACTCAAGTCTGTCCACTCCTTTGCTTAATCTACCGTGGAAAAGAGAATTATGGCTTGCCCATGCGAAGCAAGGAGTAGTTGTAATGCGTAGTATTTCCACCAGCTGAAAAAGATAAAAAGAAAAAAAAAGATAAAAAGAGTATTGAGTTAGCAATCTGTGGAGGATGTACCCAGCGAGAAACACCGAAGCGGTGTGTAATCGTCATTACTAGGAGCAAACGAGTTGGTAAATGCCTACGCGGGCAATCAGGACTTGATCGTGAGACCTATACGGTCAGCTGCGCCTTGAACGGCCCAAGTTGTCGGGGCTCAACTATTTCCCTTTGCGAGTTCATCATTAGCCTTTCACGCCCAGCGGAAAATTCACTGCCTCCAATTTGCTCCTTGATCTGGACCATTAAAAACCACTTTCGAGACCCCTTCTTTTGGCAAGCCGCCTGTGTGTGAAAACTGTGTGAGGAGCAGACAAAGTGTGAGACCGACAGAGTCGTGAGCTAGACTCATAAGAGACACTGTGACGATGCCACGGTCTTTGTTGGGAGTTGCCGGGGAAGTGCACGCCCGCACCTATACGCAACCCACCTGCATACTGTGCAGCCATCAGGGAAGCCTCGAGCAATAGATCCAAAAAACAATCGTCTCAAAGAAAAGTGATTTTCGCAAAACAACTTTCACCCCAGAGAATGAGTGATATTGTACGAATAACAAGACATGTGCGAGAAATAAAATCACCAAAATCTTTATGAGTTAACAAGTGGTTAACCGAGTTGATTGGAAATTTTTGCTGCGCTAAAGTTCCGTTTCCTTGAAAGATCCACGATAGTTAACTTGAGCAGCGTCTGTTTTAATTTAGATGAACCCCAATTTTAATGTAGGTCATTCAGTAGCCTAAAACGTAACCCTAACCCCCTAGGGTGTATGCAAAATCATATTGAAATCGGAGGATTTGGATGTGTTACGGTCATTTCAATATGATTTTAATCCACTAACTTCATTTCCATAGACCTATCCTGGGGCACACTGGCAAAATATAAACCATTTTACTTTTGTGAAGTAATCGGGGAGAAAAACCCTGTAAACATTTCGCCTGATGAATTCACAGGAACGTTGGCGCTCATTGCTCGTTTGCGTCATATTAAGGTCATTGAAAAAAAATCTGATCTGATGAAATGAAACTTACCTTCATCAAGTTATGTAACTCCAATGATTTTCAGCTTACACTTGACCAACAAGAAATACAACTCGTTGTTTCATGAGATTGTCCAGCTCCACGTTGAAACACACCTCTTAAAGTTAGTAACAACTGACAGACGATTTATTGTTGATGGGGGCCAGTGCACTATGAACTGGCCCCTTTAGCACTTTAACATCGGTCGTTTGTACTATGGAATGGGTCCTGGGCACTACAGAATGGGTTCCAGACACTATAAAATGGGCCCTAGACACTATGAAATGAGTCCTCTGCACCATGGAATGAGCCCTGGACACTATACAATGGATCTTGGGCACTATGGAACGGGCTTTGGGTAATATGGAATGGGCCCTGAGCTCTATCAATAGGCACTTTGTTATTTTTGTCCTTTTACCTTTTGTTTGTATAAATGTTTCAATTGTGTAAGTTTAACCGTCAAAGAGGCGGGTTACTTTGGTCCATCTCACAACGGGGGGGGGGGATTCTGCCCACCAAAGAACTTGGCTGTGTCTCGCCCAATGTTTTGATTCGTGGCAAGCATGTAAAGATATTTCTATTAATTTAAATGTGAACTTTGAAATTAATCAGTTTTACGGTTTTGTTGTAACGGTCATTTGAAGTTCAAGGCTACATGTGTGCCAGCCCGCGAGAGTCGAGCACCACAGTGGAAAAAGCATACATT